ATCCTGGGGGCTCAGACTTCATGTTGTGGGGGGAGTCAGTCCCGGGCTCCTTTTTACAGTTAGACTCCTAATTACACCAGTCATAAATCCCATAGCTGTAGGGCCAAATCAAATTTTGACAAACCCTAAAACCTTACAAAAGGGCCTTACCCTGAAAAAGCCAGCGCCCACATCGTCCCACAAACCAGCAGGCACTGCTTCCCCAATCGGAGCCCTGCAGGGATCTCCAGTCCCAGAATTTTTCCTAAACTACACAGATCACCTCTGGTCAGTGATGCTAAAAAACCTTCCAAACTCTAAATGTCTCTCAGCCAGAACTAACCAGTTCTTGTTGGCTATGTTATAATGCCAGACCCCCTCCCCCCTTTTATGAAGGCATTGGATTAATATCCCAGTGTGATGAGTCTGAAAAAGACACTGCTGGCAGATGGTCCCAGGAAGGACCAGCTTCGACTCTGCAGACAATATCAGGGCAAGGCACATGCCTGGGAAAAGTTCTCCCATCACACCAGCATCTCTGCAACTGAAAGACACCAGCTGTTCATTCCAAATGGGTTATCCCCCATCCCTCAACAGGCATGGTAGGCTTGTTCGACTGGGCTAACTCCATGTGTGCATGGAGAAGTCCTTAATTCCTCCACCGCAAAGGAATTTTGCATTCCAGTCCAGCTGGTCCCCCTTATAATCTATTATTCAGAAGAAGTGGTACTAGAGAGCTTAGTGGGGCATGTTGGGGAAAGCCTCATGAGACAGAAAAGGGAACCTGTCTCTCTTACCCTAGCAGTGATTTTGGGAGCAGGACTTGTGGGAAGCCGGTACTGGAATAGCAGTACTGACATTACAAGAGAAAAACTATAAGAGCTTAAAAGCTTACATAGACGAAAACATTCAGCGCCTGGAGAAGTTCATTTCACACCTAGAACGTAATGTAGATTCCTTGGCAGAGGTAGTTCTACAGAATAGAAGGGGGATAGACTTAGTTTTCCTACAACAGAGAGAATTATATGCTGCCCTACATGAAGAATGCAGTTTCTATGTAAACCTTTCCGGTGTCATTAGGGAATCACTAGCTAGAGAGAACTTAGAGAAGCATCAAAGAGAACGGGAAAATTCCAAAAGCTGGTATCATGCACTGTTCGATTCTTCTCCCTGGCTAACCACCCTTCTCTCAGCAATTACGGGACCCTGGTTATAATATTACTGTTGCTCACTTTCGGGCCACGCATAATTAACAAACTTTTACAGTATATGAAACAGAGCCTAGGTACCATTCAACTGATGGTTATGTGGTCTCAGTACCAGACAGCGAATGAAGATTTAGATTGTTATTGAGACCAAGATTAGCCTCCAGAGTTACTAGTAGAGGGGGGAAAGAAGGAGCTGAGCTAAATGGCCAAGTGCCAGTGCCTGCACTTCCCCAGAAGCCGAGCAAGCTGGCACTGGTTGCAACCGCAACACTTCCCACCTCCCCCTCAGCCCCACATGCATAGAAATCCCCCTCCCACCACCTGACCCCTCCCAAAAGACACTGCCAGCGCCAAAGGCCACAAATCCTTACCCTAATAGCACCCACATCCTGGGAAGGAGGATATCAGTTTGAGAACAGATAAACAAAAAAAACCAAGGCAGCAGCCTTCATTCCACCTGAAGCTGGCAACCTCTCTGATGGATGGCCAAACACTCCCCAACACAGGTGGCTTATGGCCTTAGGAAGAGCAAAACCCATACATTCTTAGAAAGAAATCATGCCAATTAAGTCCCCAGGCAGCTGTGACCAGTTTGTAAAAACATTAAAGCTTTTTCTTATCCGCTGTTTCTCTCCCCGCTATATAACCTGTTTTGTATATATTCCCCTACCCTCGTAGACACTGGGCCGGCAACTTCGCTTTGTGCAACTTGCGGTCCAAACTTAGGTTTGAAATAAAAGGCTTTTATATATCTCTACAGCGGATATGGCAATTCTTTGAGATCTCTTGGAGGTCCCGAGACTTGTTCTTAACAGTCCTAAGAGTTTTATGAGTAATGTTTTTTTTATAAATACTAAGAACTATAGACCTAAATAAATAAACTTACAGTATTACTGTGGAATTAAAAACGTGTGTAGAGCATCCTGGAAAATTATTTAAAGTTAGAAGCCAGGTTACTTATGGCCTTTGTGATAGGAGTGTCTTCAGTGTGGACCATATTCTGTACAAGGGCATACAAAACAAACTTCTACTCCTTTCAAGTTTTTTTGTGTTGAATGACATCAGAACTACTCAGAATGGTTGCTTTGCTTCTGGCCTGAGGGAAAAATAATAAAGGCCAAGTGTACTTCCCAGAAAAACTGAATTGGTTGAGGATGATTATTCTGCAGTATTTGTCTTTGGAGTAAGGCAAGCACTCAACTCCTAACTTGAGTGCATGTATGAGTGAATGTAAAATAAATGTAAAGTGGTTTTCCTCAGTAAATACAAGCGATAACTGACTTCACTCATTATTTCCAGAGAAAAATACAGATCCAAGATGCTGTAAGGGGATCGATCCACTGATATTAGTTCCTTACAACTGTAGAGCAGGAAGTTTCAAAGAACTCAAGGTTACAACTATGTTGTACAGATTCAAATTTTATCATGGACCATTTGTGATCTTAAGACACTTAACTTTTTGGTTCCTCAGTTTCTCTGTTAAATGGATAAATAGTAAGTATCATGAGGTTTAATCCCACTGGTTTATTATGAGATTAAATATTGTTATAGGGCAGGAATGAGCTTGTATTCGGATATAAACACACACACACACACACACACACACACACACACACACACACGAGTTCCCTAACATTGCCTAACATTGTTACTGCCACAAAGACCCCTTGGTCAGATTCGTCTCATTTGAAAACTTGCATTAATTTTAAGAACTTCCTTAGGAATGAAATTTGTTAAATTTGGCTAAGACATACTTTTTTTTCCCTTTTGGTGCATAAATGAACAATTTCATTCAAAAAAATTTTAAAATAGTTTCATTGAATTTGAAAGACATCTTTTATCTTTTTGTTCAATTTGAACTGAATCATTACTATTTTTACTATCTTTGTACTGTTGCGATAGTAATTCACAGTCCTGTCACAGAAGCCATTTCAGAGGGTAGCAAACTGGGCAAGGTAGTATATGTCTGGAATCTCAGCATTCTCTAGTCAGAGCCAGTAGAAATGACAAAAGTTCCAGGCCAGCCTGGTCTACAAAGGAAGGCCCCTCTCAAAGAATAAGGCAAAACACCTAAGCCAAGAAGTGACTGTGTGGTGATTTAGTAGTAAAGAAATGTGGGTAAGAAGGCAGCTTTGTAAGAAAAGGTCCTCTGAACACAAACAGGGCTCACACCTGTATCTCCACTATGACTCAACTGGGAAATTTGAATTTCTCTCTTACCCAACCAAAGCCTAATATTTCTTGGTAGTGAATGAAACATGAGAGGATTTAGACATGTTTAGAAAATAAGCCAGTGTGAACAATCCAAATGCTAATTTTGACAGGTGCAAGCGGCATACTTTTGGTAAACAAAGAATGCAAAAAAAAAAAAGATATCCAACCAAGTAAAATAAATCTTTTAATTGGCGGTTTTACCACAGGTGTTTCACATTGAACAGAGTCCAATTGTTGAAGATATGCAAACAGAGTTGGCAGGTGACAGAGAGGCTTATATAAAGAATTTAAATGGCCAACACGGAGGCTACAACTTACCTGTGTAGTAGGTTTTCCTACACTGTTATTCCAAGTTAACTGTTGTTTCATAGTTTACTGAACACTTAGTTCTTTGTGAGTTAATTCAACATGTTTCATTCTTGGTTCAAAATATAACTACTCACCAACCTAACTGGTGAAAAGACTTAGTTCCTATGTCTAAGTGATCATTATAAGATTGAATATTATTCAAACATTTCTAAACCTTTCCTTTTAAGAATGAACTCATTTCCTCTTGGTATTTAACACACACCTATTTTGCAGTTCATTATACATTAGGGCTTTAATGAGCTGCTCTGTTCTCCACTGTTGTGTGCTCAATATTTGGCTTGGCTCTTTTACAATTCCATCAGAGCTCCATATAGTTATCTGCTTTTATTATAGTATTGTCTTTGTTTGCTAGGACAGGGCTTTTGCTACACTGACACCTGCTGTTCACTTGTATCTTTTTTTTTACTTATCATCTACTTGGGGACAAAGAATATTAGCTGCATATTTACCTCAAATCATTCAAAAAAGGAAGCCAAATAAAGCATTTAAAGAAACACTATGTTTTTGATCTCCTGTTATGTCCCAGAGTGTAGCACAGCTCTAAGTTAGAGGCTATACTTCCAAAGGGTAGCAGTTCAGCCACAGCAATGAGGTGGCTCTCTTCAGTAGTAATAATAAACTGATATTCTAATTGGCTTGAAATTAACTATCGAGTAGATATCCTGAGGGAAACAGTATGCTGCTGTAAATGTTCTAGCTAATATAAAAATCAATGACTTAGGTTTCTATTAGTCTAAAAGAACCATGTTTCTAGTTGCTGAGTGCAGGGTTTTAAGGCATCCTGTGGAATCTATTACTTTCCTAAAGTCCTCCTGACCTTTCTAAGATGATCCTGCTTCTGATTCCTTGAGCTCTAACAGCCCCAGGATCCCTAAGCCATGAGCAAATAGAATGCAGCTTGATATAATTAATGCTGTCTTGATCAAAAATTGCCACCTTCCCTGTCAGCTGCCCTGACACATATGTTATTCTAGAAGATAGTTGTTGAGATATAAGATGGACACTAATACCAGGCTATCTTATAACTGACACAGCATGAGAAACTCATCCAATTTCTCATAAAGTGCAGGAACAGTTTGGTTTGCTGTGGGCCACTTTTGTGGCACTTAGTATAGCAACCCTGCTTTGCACTGCATGGTGCCTAGATCCTCCTGTTAAGTCAACAACCATCCTCTCGCCTGCAAGTCTCACATATTATCGTCTGTAACCCTAGACTACTGCCTTCCCCCTTTTATCTCAGTGCCTTCTACCTTCGGTGGTCACTTCTCCAACGCTGAGTTTTCCCAGAAAAGTTTTCTGGCTGTTTTGGGTGCTGTACACCCAGCTCTTCATAGTCAAAAAGTGACGTTCAATAAAAAGTTCCATTCACACATCATAAACTATTACATCATGGCATTTTCTTTTTTTTTTTTATTTTTAAAAATAATTCTCAGTAATGGTTTTAGCAAATATCTACATATACACAGATTTCCTAGATTTAGTAACTGCTATGTTTTCCAGGACATTAGATATTAATGGTAAGTCTACAAAGGCTAGTTTTAAGGTAGATAACAGAGGTTAATTGTGCTGAAGAAAGATCTACAGTTAAGTTGTACACCTTTGGGCCAGATGGGAAGCTCACACCTGTAATCCCAGCACTCAAGATGCTGAGGCTGGGTTGCTCTGAGTTCAGGGCCAAGTGGGAGACAGAGTAAGTGCTGAGCCAGCCTAGGCTACAAACAGTGAGAGACTGTGATAAAAAGGACAAAGTTTTACAATTCATGAACAATAAGTTAGTATGGAACAAGGCTTAAACACCAAACCAAACCCCAGCTCTTTAGGAGCCATCAAGTTTCCTATAGGCTTCTTGAATGAACGCTGATACATTCTTCACTGGGGTTGAATTATGAAGAACATCCAAGTCCTTCAGAAGAGCATTCTGGTTTGGAATGAGTGCCAATATTTCTTTCTGCAAGACAGTACAATTAGTTTTAGCATTTTATGAGGAAAAATGTCAAACATCTGATATTTGGAGACATGTCATAATCTTAAGTAACTACCACCCAAGGTTACTAGTCATCAACCAGTGGCCATTTATTTTCAAATTAAGTCTTTCCTTGTCCCGTTTCCAGCTCTGTTGGAGTATTCCAGATAATAAAAAGAGCATTTACATGACAATATCAATGAATTTTTGGGAAGACAAATGACAAGAGTATTAACTAAAAAGATACCACAATGCTAGTCTATAAAGAGCCATATAACTCTGTTAAAAGTCAAATTCTAGAGAAGGATATGCCTATAGTTATGATTATATGAATATGTAAAAGTATATAAATGAGTATAATATAAAATTTCTTATTTCTATCAGTACAACAATGGTGTATCTGTGTGATGGAATGTTATATAAATACTGATAAGGATGAGTGTACATGAATGGACAGAAAAGACGTTCAAACTACATGCCAAGTAAAGGAAAGTAATTTATCAAAAGTTTTATAACAGGATTAGTTTGTTTAAAGAAACAGAATATAGTTTTATCAGTGTGTGTGTGTGTGTGTGTGTGTGTGTGTGTGTGTGTGTGTGTGTAATATAGCCTGGCAACAGTGAGTATGGTAAATGGGGACTTACTTGAAGTATGGGAGCTTTAAGACTTTTCTGAGAAAGTTCTGGAAGAGCCAGTACTTGATTGCTTTCTATGTGAAATACCTAAATAGAAACAGAAAGCTAGGGATTATTTCAAAAGGCGGCTCTGTTCACCTTACAAAACTCACGTTATCTTGGTAACATTTTAGCATTAAAAATTATATTTAAATACTAGCGATATGATTTTCAACCATTACCTCTTTCACTTCCTGTTCCTCTTCTTCCACTTCATTTGTCAGAATTTGAATTTTGTTCTTTAGTGTTCGAATATTCTCAGTCACTGACTCTGTGGTCTCTACTAATTTGTCTATTTCTTCCTAATGCAAAAAGAAAAGTTAATATTTTAAAGTAAATATATGATAAATGAAATCCTAGGAGACTCTCTGTGTATGTGTGTGTGTATACACATAATACATCATATTATAAAACACTCTGGAAAAAAATGTTAACTTTATTTTTGCTTATCTTTCAAAAAGAGGCCCTCTAGAAAACTGCATGGTCGATATAACAGTGAGTTATAAGGAAGGATGAAAGAGAGATCTGCTCATCAGTGCTTGTTCAAAACCTTAACACAGAAGCTAACAAGCACTGGAGATTCTGCAAAACCCTTTGAAAGAGTTGTACAGCCCAAGAACCCCAGGCAACAGCATCTGTTAAGTAACAGGTAATTTCAAGTGCCAGAAACAAATGAAAATATTTTTAATTTTAGTTAGGAACATTTGAATGCCTGCTGTTTTAATATGCCAAAAGAACGGAATGCTAGGCATTGGAATTGATATTAATAAAAATTAATAAAACACTGCTAAGGAAATATGTTAATTTAAAGAGAAAAACAAAATATACAAAATTAATGAAACACATATTGGAATAACAGGAATATGCTGACTGGAGGCCAAGGATAGTATAAATCAGCTTCTTAGTAATTAAAGCTATTTTAAAGTATATCCTAGACATCATAGCATTTCACTTGTAAATATTTCAATGCATAACTCTAAAGGACTTAACAAATATGTAAGATTAGGATACCATATTAGTTAAAATCCTAATACATTCTATAATATTGAACATTTTCACTTTTTGAATTCTTTGTACATAGGAGCCACTTTACACTTTGAGTCAGGCTCCATGTTGGTCATGACTGGTTTAATTTTCCTTAAAGTATTTTCTGTCCAATTCTTTATATCACTGAAATTGCTAGGTAGAGAAAAGCAGGCTGTTTGTTTTTATGAATGTCCCAGACCCTGAATTCTGTAAACTGCATTCCATGGTAAAGATAACCTGTTCCTTTAGCCCCACGCGGCTATGAACTGGCTACTGGATTTAAAAAGTACAGATTAAGACAATTATAAAGTAAACCATGTATACCAGTTTATTATCACTATCCTAACAGATTAAGAGAAAAATAGCATCCAATAACTTATCCTGACAGGCAAAAGCCCAAAGGGAAGATTATGGCTTGGCTATGATCCCTCTAAGTTATAAGTGGGGATTTTGGCTTTTGCGTCCCCTGTTTTGTAGAGGATCGTTTCTTCCTGTGTTTCCTTTTTATCTGCTGCATGTAAATTTCTCTGCTTCCAATAAAAGCCTTTCTCCAACTGCTGCTCTGTTGTGTTCAAGATTGTGCTGCTGCTACTTGTTGAGCTCAAGATCAAGTTTGCTTGAACTCATTCATTCATTCATGGATTTCAGAACACAGTTTCTCTGTGTAGTCCTGAAGTCTCTCTGTAGAGCAGTCTGGCTTTGAACTCAAGAGATCTGCCTGCCTTCATGCTGGGATTAATGGTGTGTGCTACTCCCGGCCTTTTAAGTTTTTAATTGACAGAGAAAACAAACCCTATTAAGACTCCTAGATGGTAAAACTTTGCGAACTTTCATCTCAGAAGTAGTCCTCATTTCTTCTGAGGATTACTGAAGAACCTACCTTCTCAAATAGCACAGCCTAAAAAGCCATACTATCCATCACTAATTGGATAGCTCGTGTTCAGAATCTTCGCAATTGCTTATGTTTGATTGTGGCCACTTAGATAGATCTCCTTTTTAAAGGCACTCTGACTGTTCCTCCTGCCTCATAGCCCATTTTGACGGCCCAAGGAAGCTAGAGTGGTAGACACCCCACCCCCACAGACCCTAGCAACAGTTAGGGTGGTCTCTATAAAAGAGAAATGAGGGACTAGGAGCTAGACAGACTCCCTGGGAGGCATTCTATGGCTAGGGAGACAGAGATTATGGCTAGGTAATAAAGGCAGCAAATGTCAAGATGGCTGGCTTTCTCACACTCCTGACCAGAGTCAAGACACTGGTAGCTTAAAACAGAAGCCTTGTGTCACTCCCCATGGATTGGCTTAACCAGTTCAAGGCTGGAGGAGGACATGTTATATAACAGCTCAGAGCCAATCAGCTGTCCTGTTTTTCCTCAAACTGACTAACCATTAAATTAGGTAAGGAAGAGCCTTCCAAGACTTAAAAGACTCAGCTTCCTTAGTTCTCTTGCTTTGTGGAGGGTCTTTTTCTCTGTGTTCTGCTGCATGCCTGATTCCTCATCCCCAATAAATGTCTGTCTTCAACTGCTGAGAAGAACAGATTATACAGGAAGCCTGGGCATGGAGACATCAACTTCTAATCACAACACGTAAAGATAGTCACAACACGTAAAGATAAGAGCAGGAAGACTGGGAGTTTGAGGACAGCCTTGGATCTAGGAAACCTTCTTTCAAAAAGAAACAGAAAATTATAGGGGAGAGAGCTTCCTAGAGAACTAGACTCTGGTGTATGACAGGTTGACATTCATTCACTTTAAGCAGATAGTTTTTGGCTCACCTGGAAAAGGTAACATTTTTTCTCAAATCAGATAAAGTTTACACTCTTCAGACTGTAACTATGGTACATAACTATGGGATGTAACTATGGGATGTAACTATGGGACTAGGGATGTAACTATGGTGTGTTTGGACACAAAGTCCTCGATACACATGTGCTACAGAGATAAGAACAATCACAGCAATGACTATAACCTCCATAACTCTATGGAACTAATGTAGAATTCTACAGTGATACGCCTTAGTAATTACAAATATTGCAAATTCAACTAAAATAGAGTAAAAGAATAGGGTTGCCTATGCCTAGGAGTATTTGGTTAATATAAAATAAACTAAGTCCTATTTTTTGTAGACTTTTTGGTCTTACTATGTTCTTTTGCTTATTGGCTTTTTATTTCCACTTTTGTGGGTTTTGTTTAAATAAGCCAAAATTTTACTTATTCGTGTCTTGCACTGTCTCCTCAATGATATCCTTGGCTGAGGATTCTTTGCTATTAGTCCTTAACCACTACACAACTGCAACCATCCACCTTCTGTGGGTTCTCCTCTCTATCAATTTTACAGAGGCCTACCCATTTCCCTAGTTTCTTGTCATCAAACTTAACCAGGTTGATTTGGTGCTTAGGAGAAAGTGTCTCCACCAGCTTGACATACATGGCCTCATCACAGTTGTATATGAGCACACAGAGATGGGCTTGGTGCTTTCGCAGCTTTGCGTATGTGTTAGGTCATTGAGGATGAGGGCAGTCTTCAACATCTCTTGTAGAGCAGTGTTGCTGTCCATTACACCTTCAGCAGGTTTGCCTTCCTTGGCCATGGCTGTGGAATACTAGTTATGCTGAATGTTTAATGCACCCAAGCCTTGGCCTCTGGTGAAGGCAGGGGAAAAGGAGTTGTTCTTTTCTTGTTGTTTTATGTTTTAAAGAGAGAGACACAGAGAGAATATAAAGGTGGGTGCGTGTAGGGAAGTAGGAAAGGAAAGGAAGATCTGGGAGAAACTGTGGGGTGAAGGACATGATCAGAACATATGAATAAATTTTTCAAAAAATGGAGCTGTTACTTGACCACAGATAAATCATAAACACTTCAAATTTAGAGGCTTAAAGTTCAAGTGACACCTTTGTTTTTCTTACAAAACATAAAAAAAATCAACAAAAAAAACCCTAATCCAAAATTTGAGACCACTAATGCTATGATGCTTGCATTTCTCCTTGATCCCTTTCCCCAGCTCTCTCATTCTAGAGGCCTTTTGAATGGCATACCTGCAGTGAAGCCAGGTTCTCTTCATTCACTCTTTCCTGGGCCTTTTCCATTTTCAGCAGATTTGACACATCTGTTAAATAGTTCAGCTTTCTTGGAGGAACTTTCAGTGTTGCACACTGTTGTAGTAATCTTAAAAATAGAATATAACATGTTTATTTTTGTGAAGAATACCATTTTTTAAAAGTTTCATTTTTTCCTATTCCCACACTTGAAAGGGCTACAACATTAGTTTATTTTTTTCCCCCACAATGGCTAATGGCATTCCTTCCCAAAACATTCTTGATAACACATCACCTAACTTTTTAATACATTAACAATGATCTCAAATCATGGAATGAAAAGGCTACTTTACCAGAACATTTTTTTTAGTTTACACATTTTATAATATACTTTAAAATCAGAATTTCCTATTATTGTTTAACTACAGTTTTTATACAACTCTAGCATGTGAGTCTGTCAGTTTAGTATGGAATGTCTGATAAAGAAAGAACTCTAGACGTTTTGAGTCTGACCCTTAACCTCACCTTTCACTGTAAAGGATGTAGCCAATAAAGGTTCATCTAAATGCTTTCATGTTTTGCTGTAGAATAGTGACATGGATTCTATTCTATATCTAACTGAAGTCTTATTTGTGTGAGTCCCCACTTCCAGCAGACAGAAAATGTTTTCAAACTTGATTCTTCAAATTTATGAGAAAGAAATAAAGACTAGAGGCTGGAGAGATGGCTCAGAGATTAAGAGCATTGGCTGCTCTTCCAGAGGTCTTGAGTTCAGCTCCCAGTAACCATATGGTGGATCATAAGCATCTATAATGAGATCTGGTGCCCTCTACTGATCTGTAGGCATACATGCAGGCAGAATGTTGGATACATAAATAAATCTTTAAAAAAATGAAGAATAAAATCACTGTAGTTGCTTTTGCCACAATAACTGTAGTTTTTCTATAAATTCTACAGTAAGGTGAACACCCTCCCAAACCTAAAACCCAAAAGGTTTCAAATTTTGAACCATTTTTTGGTGCCAAACTGATGGAAACTTCCTTAGCTAATGGAATTTCACAAACTAGTGGAAAATTCACTATCATAAGACATCAACTTATGAACAAAAAAAGTGTAAAAACACTGTATAAGGGCTGTTTTAGGATGGCTCAGTGGGTAAAGACCCTAGACCCTTAGCATGCATGCCTGATGACCTGCACTCAACCCCTGGAATACAAGGTCAAAGAAGAGAACCGATTCCTCAACATTGTGTTTTACCTCCAATGCACACCATAGCTTATTGTATGTGCACACACATACAATAAAGATGAAGTTTTAAAGAAATATTGCATAAAACTTATTCAAGACAACTGATAAGATGAATAAATAAATTTTGGGTTTAGATTTGGTATCCCTAGAACTCACTGTTGTTTTATAAGTAAATATTTCCAAACCTGAAAATACTTCTGGTTTAAAGAATTTCAGAAAATGGATACCTGCCCTTAACATTTGAAAGCTGGGCCGGAGAGATAGCTCAATGGGTAAGAGCACTAGCTGGTCTTCCAGAGGTCCTGAGTCAAATTCCCAGTAACCATAGGTGGCTCACAACCATCTGTAATGTGATCAGATGCCCTCTTTGTGTTTATAAGCTCTATATGCAGATATAGCACTCATATACATAAAAATAAAAAACAAACAAACAAATAAATAAATAAAAAAAAGATTTGAAAGCAGCTACATAAGAATGGAATCTAGATTTTTCTTTTAGGGACCATGGTCAAAAGCTTAATCTTTCTAAACGCACTCATTGGTGGCATAAACCCTACAGTTAATCAGTCTCACTAGACTGTTAAGACAAAGTTGAGCTAGCCATAAAGTCATTACTGGACTACAATGAACAGCCATTCTACAACCTCTAAGCAGCATACGTTTTAGTTCTGAATTAACATAAAGACTGTGATCCTCCTATTTCATTAAATTAATTATCTGTAAGGCTCAATTTACTGTTCTAAATGTTCTAAGTGTTTGAAGCTGGGGTTAGCTTTCCAAGATTCTCAAAAACTTATTAGAGTTTATAAAAGCATACTCTAAAGACCGTTACTCTATCAACAAGACAGTCACTATCCGTCACTATTTCTCTCTGGCTCCTACAGACAGTTTCTTTAGAAGTGAAGAGCTAGTGGCTTGGCCTGCCTGGCAGCACTTTTTGACTGCTCATGGGCTAGGAACCTGACATAGTTCATATCAATAATGCTGCAAAATCAGCACAAGTATAGGACCATTTCCTTAGCTAGGCCCCAGTCAGAGACCATGGATTAAAGCTAAACTTCAGCAACGACAGAAACAAAAGAAAGCCTACAAACTCATGGAAACAGAACAATTGATGTAGGAGGGCCCAGGTCATTGTGGGTAGTACCACCGCTGGGTTTCTGTTCTCGGGCGCTGTAAGAAAGCAGACTGAGCATGCTACGAGGAGTAGACCCATAAGCAGTGTGCCTCCATGGCTTCTGCACTAGTTTCCCTCTCCAGGTTTCTGCTCTGGCTTCCCTCACTGATCAACTATAAGGTGTAAGGTAAAATAAATCATTTCCTTCCCAAGTTGCTCTTGGTTCTGGTGTTTTACCAAAGCAAAAGAAAATGTAATCAAGACAGAGGTGAAGGAAAACCATAGGGTAAACAACAGCAGTGGAAAACATAAGATAAAACAAGAGTTGTAAACACTTTAAGTTGTTAAAAAGTAAAGGAGTTAATGTCATCAAGTATTTTTTAAATACTGACACAAAACACAGAACACTAAGTATGACAATAAAAGTTACACGAGTACTGCATTCTTTTGTATACATTCTCTGAAATTTAATAAATATGTAATTCTAGACATCATTTCCTTTAAAAATTAATGAAAAGCATATTCTATAGAAATCTATTTTAGAACATAGGCGAAAATCACTTTAAAAAATAATTAAGAGTCATTTCAATTGTGGGTTACCTTTTCTTCAACTGGTTGAGATGATACTGAATTTGTTCTTTTCTTTTAATGTTTTTGTTTAAAATTCCACTGGGGGACAAAAAGATTGAATAAATATTACTTTGAAACATAATACAGTCTGTACTTTTCAAGTGTTCTTCCTCACTAGCTACGCAGAATCACTTACCTTCTTCTTTATACTAGATTTATTATTATTATTATTATTAATTTTTAACATCCATCCTCTCCTCCCAATCTTCTCACCACCTGCCTACCCCCATCCACCCCTCTGTTTCTCTTCAGAAAACGGAAGCCCTACCATGGATATTAACCAGCCATGGCATATCAAGTTGCTGTAAGAGTAGGCACCTCTTCACCTAGCAAAGGTGGACAAGGCAGCTCAGTAGGAGGAAACAGTCTTCAAAGCAGGCAACAGAGTCAGAGACAGCCCCTGTTCCCACTGTTAGGAGTCACATAAGACCAAACTACATAACTGCAGCATATGTGCAGAGGGCCTAGGACAGTCCCATTCAGGCTCCCTGGTTGGCAGTTCAGTGCCTGTGAGTGCCTGTGAGCCACTGTGAGCCACTGTGAGCCACTGTGAGCCACTGTGAGCCACTGTGAGCC